CCTTCCAAGAAGTTCTGAACCCTCACAAAGGAGGGGGAGGCCCTCATTTACAGCCAAAAGGGACCAAAGCTTCTCAAAGAAGCAAAAAACCAAGGTTGAAGATCACTTCCCCTGGTCAGCCGACCAGTTCAAAAGGTTCAACCCCGTGAAAGGTGGTCGGCAACCCCATTTGATGGTCTCCACAGTGAATGCAAGCTAGTAGTATGCTGGGAGACCAGTAAATGTGGCTCAAAGACCAAGGAGACCAGTTTCCTGACAAGAAAATCGGTTGGCGGGAGAAAAGTGGTCTCCAAGGGGAAAAGGTGGTCTCCCACCCTTATACCACCTCCCAAACAATGAAAACAAGGTCCATGCCAAAAAAGAACCAAGATGGATGCAAAACGAGGGTTCAGTGGTCAAAACGCGCAGTCGGGTGCCCCGAAAATAGGCTGTTAAGCATCGAAAGTGGCGTGCGACCACAAAGGTGGTCTCCCGAGCCATAGTGTCCCTCTAGAGAGAGGAAGCAAGGTGTGTGCCAAATAAACCATGCCAAATGGAGAAAGTTAAGCGGTCCCAAACCGAGGCGCACGGCTGACGGCTCCGAAAACCGGAAATTGGTCTCCAAACGGGAAAAGTGGTCTACGACCATGAAAAGTAGCCTACGGCCACTGAGAGATGGTCTACGAGACCTCTCCCTCCCTTCGGGAAGAGAAAACAAGACCTGGTTTGCAAATCGAGGCAAAGCACAAAAGGGTCCCGAGGTCCGGGGGTAAGGCTCTCAGCCGAAACTCCGAAACCTCAGAACGAGCACAACATGCACCATCACCGAGCGCTCAATCGATGACGTCTGAGTCTTAAGGTCGGTCAAAAATGGGGTGTCTAGAGTTGTCCCTCTTTGACAGAACTCGAAAGTCATACGTGACGGGAGTAAATGTCAAAGCCCAAAGATGACCCATTTTTGATAAGGCCGAAGACTTAGACAAACAAGCGGGATAAGCAAGAAATGTGCCCTCAGGCGGGGGCAAAATGCAAAACGATATGCACAAATCCGAACATAACTCATGATTATGCAAAGCGAGCTGTAATGAAGCAAATATTCACAATACATGCAACAGTTTTAAGTAAGAATGCCATGCAAATCAAACTACATTTCATGCAGTAAGAATCATGCAAAGAAAGCTGTAATGAAGTAAATATTCACAATAAATGCGACAGTTTAAAGCAAGAAGGCAAATCAAACTACATTTCATGCAGTTATGATGTAGGAGAATTATACAACTCTCGTTACGTCTCACACGGAGAATACAATACCGTTTGGTTCGTCCGGTCGCACCAGCTTCAATTGAACTGTAAATACAATATCGTGCCTACAAAAGACAGAAACTTAACAGGCACAACATAGTTAGCAACATATGTTCAATGCTATATCGAACGCGGACAGACATGACGCCGATGGAAAAGTGCATCGCAATGCAAGAGAAACGTGCGTGACGATGCAAGTTAAGTATGGATGTATGACAATGCCAATGAAATGTGCATAACAATGCAAGCGATGTGCATAACAATGCAGGATAAGTGCAACTTCAACAGCAGGTTTGAAACAAAACGTTGAGTAAAGAAATGCAAGCTTTGAAGAGAGCATCTCAAATCCGACCTCCGATTTACCTCTCGGAGGAGTCGCAACATACTCAAAAAGGATACACCTTGCTCTTGGCGAGTAACGATGAGCCAGGCATCGAAGACTTGATTTGAAGTTCCTGCGGAGGCATTTCGCGCCAGAAAGTGCACTTTCCTTGTACTTTCTCGAGAGCCGGGGACTCCAATCACCACCAAAATTTGCAGGGAGAACAAAGAGACCATGGAGACCACCCAGGAGGGCCACCGACCACCTAGGGAGGCCATCGACCAGTGTTTTTTCAAGGGGTGGTTGGCCAGCCATAAAATCTGGTCGGCCGACCACTTTACTAAATCCGGGGCAGTTTTGTCTTTTCATGCTTGGATCTTTAAGTACACACGTCCCAAACACTGTTGCTCGCAACTCCAAGGTCGAAATCAGTCCCTCTTCCTTCCTAGACCATTTTCTCCCTCAGATCTGCGCTTTATATGCGTTTTCCAACGCCAAACGCAAAGTTGTTTCACGAAAACTTTTAGTTCTCTTCACTTTGAACCGATTAAAATTTGATTTCGGAGCTTCTTTCTCCATTTTCACCAATAGAGGTAAGTTTGTCTCGAAATTTGGAACATTTTCTCGGGAGTTGACTTTTGTTGACTTTTTCATTTCCCGAGAGTTGACTTTTGTTGACTTTTTCCAATTTTGGCTCATTTTTGCAGATTTCTTCAAATGGTGGGTCATTTTCATCATTGTGGAGGTCCTCCAGATGCTGGGGATGAGCCAAACTTCATGTCCTTGCCTCCGAGAGTTCGACCTTTCGATCCCGAGAGGTATCGTCCTCAGGAGCACGTCTTACCTCCCGTCACTTTCTACCATTTTACTGATTTTGATCGATGAGCACCCGCGGATTTACTGCTACGGGAGCCGGAGTCTCACCTCTCTCACCAGGCACGAGAGGTACATACTTTATTTTTACATTCTCTGCAATGTATTCCGCATTTCTTATTTTCGCTATATATGTTCATCTGCTCATTCTGAACACATTCACACACCATCCGGTCCACCTGGCACACAGCTCATGTATAACCAGACTTTGCTCGTTTTGGCACACAACTCACAACACAGAATTCTGTTGAGTTGGCACACAGCTTGTTCTGAACACTCAGTCTATAACACAGCATTCTGTTTGCATTTTGAACACACAGCTCAAGCACTTGAATTTCAGAACACGCAGCTCATGCTTTTGGTTGTGAACACGCAGCCCACATTTTTGAAATCTGAACACGCAGCTCATGCTTTTGGTTGTGAACACACAGCCTACATTTTTGAAATCTGAACACGCAGCTCAAACTTTTTGTCGTGAACACGCGGCCCACATTTCTGAAATTTGAACACACAGCTCAAACTTTTTGTCATGAACACGTAGCCCACATTTTTGAAATCTAAACACACAACTCAAACTTTTGTCGTGAACACGCAGCCCACATTTTTTTGAAAGTTGAACACGCAGCCCAAACTTTTTGTCGTGAACACGCAGCCCAAACTCTTGTCGTGAGCACGCAGTCCACAGTTTTTGAAAGTTGAACACGCAGCCCAAACTCTTGATGGTGAACACGCAACCCACAGTTTTTGAAAGTTGAACACGCAGCCCAAACTCTTGATGGTGAACACGCAGCCCACAGTTTTTGAAAGTTGAACACGCAGCCCAAACTCTTGATGGTGAACACACAGCCCACAGTTTGTGAAAGTTGAACACGCACCCCAAACTCTTGATGGTGAACACACAGCCCACAGTTTTTGAAAGTTCAACACGCAGCCCAAACTTTTTGATGGTGAACACAAAGCCCACAGTTTTTGAAAGTTGAACACGAAGCCCAAACTCTTGATGGTGAACACACAGCCCACAGTTTTTGAAAGTTGAACACGCAACCCAAACTTTTGTAATCTGAACACACAGCTCAAACCTTTCACTTCTGAACACGTAGCTCATACTGAGCACACAGTCCGTTTACTTCATTTGCCCGCAGCTCATACTGAACACACAATTCATTTACTTCATTTCTGAACACACAGCTCATACTGAACACACAGTCCATTTTACTTCTGAACACGCAGCTCATACACGTCATTTGGAAATTGAATACATCTGTTAATTCTGAATATAGGTATCTTCTCGTTCTGCACGAGGCTATGGCTCGATTATCGCTAGGGAGTGGTATGTGGAGCTCCTAGAGACCGTTCGTCATATGGTTGACGAGGCAGGGTTTGGACCCTTTTGCGCGGGGCTATCACGTTACCTGGCGAGCAGGACCTTGATGGGAGCACTTGTGGAGACATGGTGGGAAACCACCAACTCGTTCCACTTTTCGGCCACCGGGGATATGACGATGACCCCGTTTGACTTTGCCATGCTGATTGGCGTTGATGTGGCCGGCCGACCGGTCCTCTACGACGCAGACATGGGCAAGTAGGAGGCAGCTTGGATTCATCTGCTAGGAGTCCGCTCGCTGATTGACAGATCTTCGGGTAAAGTCAGGTACACCCGATTTCCCGTGCAGTATAGGGGGACCATGCCCGACACTATCGAGGAGATAGAACAGTACGCTCGAGGATTTTTGATGTTCCTCCTTGGGGCCACTTTGTTCTCCGACAGGGGGAACACAGTTGGACTGTATCTGCTCAGTGCTTTAGTGGACCTATCATAGGTTAGTCAGTATGACTGGGGTGGCGCCGGCCTTGCTACCCTTTACTGTTACATGAGTGCGACCTCCCGCGGGCGGGCGAACATAATTGGTGGCTACTGGAGAGCCTGGGAGGTACTTTCTGCCCTCTTGATTTACATTCCTATTTTTCATTAGTTGTACACTACACACGGCACACCTTACATTCGGTATTCTACATTCTGCACTCAGCATTCTGTATTCTCCATTCTATATTCATATTATGCATTCAGCATTCTGTATTCTCTGTACATTTTGTATTCTGATGGCTATTGCCCTATTTTCCACAGCTATGGGTTTACGCATACTTTCCGGTGCTAGCCCCGGAGCTCGAGGTGGAGGTGCCTCTTGTGATTTCTTACTCTCACGTATTTGAGGACCGGTACCGGCCAAGGGCTCGGGAGACTCTGCCCTACCTGCGGCAGTTCCTTGATACGGTGCGGGCGACCGAGGTAATTCAGAACTCTCAGTTCTTCATGTTTTCAGCTTTGATTCATCTTGGATATTTACGATATCTAATTAGCTCATGTACTGGTTATCCGCAAATCACTTGGCAACCCTAGGCGCCCTTGGGAGGAGATATCCATTTCCGATTCCCTGGGGGGTGGGCCTCTTCTCTATACAGGACTTTATTTGAGGGGCCGGTTGGCAGGGCTTGGTTTCTGGGGGATCGCTTCATGCGTCAAACGATGGGCGTCCCTGATCAGAGTATCTCCTCAGCAACTCTAGAGGACATGTGGTCCACTGAGAGACTCACTCCCAAGGAGGTCAGCATCGTTATGTTGGGTACTGATGTGATTCTGCACATGGAGGAGGGAGAGTATGTGAATTACCGCCATACATACCTCACGGCCCCACTGACAAGTATCCATACTCCTACGAGGAGGGCTGCTAGTGCATCATCGTTAGCTCGAGCCCGGGCCGTAGATGCTCCTTCGACTAGCTGGGCCGGCATATCGAGGAGTGGGGCTATATGTTGGGTACTGATGCGATTCTGCACATGGAGGAGGGGGAGTATGTGAATTACCGCCATACGTACCTCATGGCCCCACTGACAAGTATCCATACTCCTACGAGGAGGGCTGCTAGTGCATCATCGTTAGCTCGAGCCCGGGGCGCAGATGCTCCTTCGACTAGCTGGGCCGGCATATCGAGGAGTGGGGCTAGACAGATTCCCCTGATTCCTCCGACTTATCAGCATGCTGGGTGGCCAGATCTTCCGACCGAGTTGACAGGATGACGATACGGGACATCTTACCCGATTCCATTGGAGCCTCCATTGCCTGATCACCGATACGTCAGAGACCCTGACTCGCCACCGGTATGCTTTACAGTTTTGATTTATCACTCAGATATTTGGTCATTCATTCATTCAATGATAACTTGGACTTGCATCTGCAGCCTCCCAGCGAGTATACTGAGGGGTTGCTTGGGTTGGTGGCCTTACTCGAGGCCATGGTCCTACGGAGAGAGACGTAGTTGTTTATCGCCGGTGTTTTGGTACTTTTCAATTTTCTTGCATTTATCATACCTCTGATGACATGCTGAATTTGACCATTTCACTGCATTGGTTGACTGTATGTGTAGAGCACATCTGACACACACCACATTCATACACCGTATCTGCATACACCCACTCTATGTAGCTTTCTTGTCTCTGCATCTGGTATACATATTGGCTAATGTATTCAAATTGTCTTCTTTTTCAAATGCCACCGCTATAGGCTGGGCCATTTCGACCTTCTCGAGGAGCTGGGAGAGGGGATTCGATTCGTAGCCGAGGCAGGCGTAGAGCACCTATCAGAGATGATCCGGAGTCCAGTGAGGAGGAGTAGTCTGCACATCCTCAGTCAGAGACATCTGCGGGCAGCCAGGATGACTCTGGATCTGGTTCTGAGGGTGGAGGTCACGCCGAGGAGGATTCCAAGGGCGGCAACTCCGATTCAGATGGTGATGGTGCAGAGGTTGCTCAGCCAAAGAGGACGAAGATGGCCTCTTAGTCTTGCGCTTGATAGCATTGATGCATATGTTCCTGCTTTGTTTTCTTTTATTACTAGTAGTTGTAGCACATCAGCTTTTAGGCAGTTTTATTTTCTTTAAAACTTGTACCCTGTTGTAAGATGTTGTAAAAAAAGAAGCAATGATGGAATGAAACAGCTTTTTGTTCAAAAAGTGTTGTATTTTGTATTCTTAGCATCGCATCGTATCATTTTGTACAAAAATGGGATTGAATGAAAATTGAGCGTTGTATATCACCAAGTCAGGTAGTGAACCGACATAACAAACTAAACAACTTAACTCACTAAGAAACAACAAAACTTCAGCAAGTTTACAACTCGATAAGCAAAACACGACAATGTTGATAAATAGAGAGTAACAACTCGATGTACAAAACTGAACGACTTGATAAGCAAACTTAATAACTCGATAAACAAAACTTAAACAACAACTCGATAAATAAAGAACAACAACTCGATAAGCAAATGCACTTCGGACAAGCCGGGCAACGAAACGCACCCAAAACAGAGGTAGACTCGGACCTTCAGCACACCCAACACATGGAAATGCTAGGAGCTCCCTTCTAAAGACTAGGAAAAGACCAAAGACCAACTTTCCTCCATGGCCAACCACCAGAGAAGGCTGGCCGACTAGCTTTCTGCCTTGTAGACCAATTGGGTGGTCGGCCGACCAGAAAAACTGGCTGGCCGACCAGAAAAAGTGGTCGGCCGACCACTTGGCCCGGTGACCTCCAGATTTTTGACACATGTCCTCCAAACAGTGCCTTATCATCTATAAAAGTTCCAGCTTCGTGGTTCTTTCATTCCATCTCAGTTTTGCATCAAAATGGAGGCATTTCTCATCCAAAATCTCACAGCTTGGATTGCTACCTTAGACAGCTCGAAAAAGTTAAACTTCTGGGGCTTTAGCATAAATGCACTATTCATGCTGAGTCGCACTCCGCTACATCTTCCTTTCCTCCATGCTGCGGCAAAGTTTTGCAATCCGGTAACACATGTCTTTAGCTTTGGCGGGCAAGAGGTGTGTCCTACCTTCGAAGATTTCCAAGCTTTGATGGAATCCGAGTGCGACGAATAAATCTAGCCCCAACTTCGCTTCGGCCACGCCCAAGCCTTAGGGCAAATGTGTGGGCTCACTATGCACGACGCGCTCGATCTTTGATTTGTGACGGAATGCTAGATATTCCGAGTTTGATTTGTCGGTTTTCCGATGCCGGTGACCGCGGTGACCATCATTGGCTAGGCTTTCGGTGACATGCCCTTTGTTTGTGCATGCTATCTCATTTCTTGCTTGCCTCAATCTCTGGAGGATCTAGTGTCCGATTGATTGAGGTTGCCTAAGGCTTAAGGGAGGGCAAAAGCTGCATTGCCATGTCATTGGCCGAGACATTGATGGGCTTGGATGCTTTTCATCGCCGAGAGACGACCAGATTTGCGGGGAGTCCACTACTGCTGCAGGTAATGCTTCCCACCCTATCTCACATATATATTGCTCACATCACTCGGCCCTCAAGCTTAGTTTTTCTCACAAAGCCTTTTTCTCACTTTTCTCTCATCGTACATCTCTCTATTCTTTAATCTCTCATTTTTCATCCCTCCCTAGGTGTGGTTGATGGATAAGTTGTAGGTTGTGGACTCTTGCCCAGCATACTCAGCTCGTGGCTACTTCTTCCGACGTCGTCTAGTCGATGCCCTGGATGAGGGATGGTGGTTCAATTGGATGTGCAATTTGTTCGCAGACTGCATTGCTTGGCGGTGCCCTTGGCTCAATCTACCGGCAATGAGCTACAGCATGTCCCGGTAGGCCGGGATTCAGTTGATTGGCCTGACACATTGCGTGTTCTATTTTCCTTTCTGGTTCCAGCACCAGTTCGGTCATGATGAGATTTTCGGTCCGAGGCATGCAGCTTGCTTGGTATGCCACAGCATGGAGGATGAGAGAGCTTCTGGCCCCCACTCCCACTTTCAATTACACCCTTTCTGATGAGTGCATAGACCTGGTATTACGATGTCTGGAACTTCTTGGAGAAAGAAGCGTATCCACCAGGGGCAAATGCCAAAAACAAGAGGGCAATCCGAAGAATGGCTGCTCGGTTCAACATCTGCGGAGGAAAACTATATAAGAGGGGTCATCTGGGAATGCATAAGCTGTGTGTTAAGGCTGAAGAGTCGAAGCGCCTAATGGAGGCCATTCATGGAGAAGAATGCGGAGCGCACATGAACGAGGTGATGCTAGCCCGAAAGATCCTCAAACAGGGTTACTACTGGTCCACCATGGAGGAGGATTGTATCGACCTTGTTCGGCGATGCGACAAATGTCAGATCCATGCAAACCGCATGAACATTCCGATGTCAAAGTTGTACAATATGACTTCGCCATGGCCATTTTCAGTTTGGGGAATCGATGTGATCGGGGTTGTCACTCCGAAGGGGTCTAATGGGCATGAGTTCATTCTGGTCGCGATAGACTATTTTACGAAGTGGGTTGAGGCCCATTCTTATGCGGTGTTGAAGGCGTCACACGTTGCAAAGTTTATCAGGAACAACATCATCTATCATTATGGGATCCCGAATGAGATTATCTCAGATAATGGTTCCCACTTCAAGAAGGAAGTGATTGACTTGTTGGGGAGAAATACAACGTGGCTTTTCATAAGTCATCCACTTATCGGCCACAGACCAATGGAGCAGTCGAGGCCGCCAACAAGAACATCAAACACATTTTCTAGAAGACGGTGGAAACCTACCGGGATTGACTAGATAAGCTGCCATTTGCTCTGTGGGGCTACCGAACTTCAATTAGAACGTCTACTGGGGTGACTCCGTACTCATTGGTTTATGGGATGGAGGCCGTTCTACCTATCGAAATTGAGGTTCCGTCATTACGAGTACTGGCTGAGTGTCAGATAGTTGAGGTAGATTGGCAGCAGAGCAGATTTGAGGAACTCATGCTCTTTGATGAGAAAAGGCTGAAAGCACTGTACCATGTTCAAGGTTATCAACGAAGAATCGCCAGGGCTTTCAACAAGACGGTTAAGTACGGAAATTTGAAGGAAGGAGATTTGGTACTCAAAGACAACCGAGCCCTCATCCATGACCCTAGGGGCAAGTTCCGACCCAATTGGACTTGTCCCTACATCATTAAGTCTATTTGGTTGGATGGAACCGTCGTTCTGATGGACCTAGATGGCCTAGAGTTCTCACAGCCGATCAACATGGACAAGTTGAAGAAATATTACCCCTGAGTGGCTCGCTAGGCCAAAAACCTGAAAGGGCGACCTAGCCAAAAGTTAGGGCACAAAAAATTTGAAATTATAAAAACTGAGCTCGCAAGGTTGAAAACCCGCAAAGGGCGGCCTTGGAAAAAGTTAGAGCGTAAAAGGTGAGGGTCAATACACGAATGAACCTAAGCCGAACTACATAAGGCTTGATTCCCATTTTTGGGATACGTAGGCAACTTCATCCTAAAGTCCATCCATAAACACTTCCCCGATCAACTTTGTCCATGTGATCACGTTTGGTCATCTTTGTCTATCCTATGTTCAAGAGCTCGGTTGTGATCTCCAGT